GCAAATGAGAGATCTGTGTTGGAGAAATGAGTTGTAATAAACGCATATAGCAAAAAATGTGAAACAATTGAATTTTGTCATAACTGAGATATATTTTAAAATGAGTCTATAAAGAGACCTTTTAGAAATCCCAGAAACACAAAAAGCATAAAATCTGTCTGATCAACCGTTTTATTTGAAGTTTTCTATAAAGTATGTCATCAGGAATGATCCTTTTCATCCTAAATCGTTTTGTTTGTTTTGAAATTTAATTGAAATCTCTTCGTTTAATGTTTGGCATCATTGTGAAGCATAGCCATTCCTCTTTGAATACAGGGCTGGAGTTCCAGATAACATATTAAATGAATGAAAATCAACTTTTCAAACTTGCATTCTTGTAAACAAAACTAGGTGATTAAATGGCTAAATTTCAACAAACTATATGTCATTTTAAAGATCTTGAGATGGAGCATTTGAAAATAACTATATTGGGATAAATTCTGTATTATGACTCATTTTGTCACCATGGGTCACACATTTTACATCAAAAGCCAGTGTATTTATCTATAGTCATTGATATTGTGATTATTTAATGAGTAGGTTTTTGTTCTGTTTGTAGTTGAGCATTTACGGTAAGTACATGGGTGCAAAATGACAACTAGTAAAATATGAGGTAGGATCATAAAGTGGCTAAGAAACCTCTTAATTAGCACCAAAAAAACAAAAATAGAGCCTCTTCCTGTTTTTTATTGGATGGTCAAGGTAAATGGTAACTGTACAGGGGTAGACATAAGGACATTTTTCAGGTTGACAAAACCCGGTTGTCCGCAAAACATTTTGGTTGGCCAAAAGAATCTCAAGAAAATTGTAATTTAACAAGTATATTGTTCTGTAGACGAAGTTTATTATATATAATTGTTCTCAGTCAGCCAGGTTGACAGGAGCTGCATGAATAAAATTTCCTCATTCTCTTTGAAAAAGAGTTCAACATTCATAAGCTTCTTTCTTCTCATAGGTCAAACATTTTCACTTAAATAGGAGTATCTTGTATACACGACCTTATTAAAAGTTACAGTTTAGATTTCTGTTCGGATTTACCAAGTTTTTTCTCCCGTTCATTTTTATAATGACGAACACCCACGGCAGAGAACTTTAATCAAGGTCTTTTTGCTTGGTAGTCCACCGGACAACCAGGGGACAGGATCTGGTTGACCGAAACGAGTATAGGTTGTCTCGGACAACCTAAACAATGGTTATGTCTACCCCTGCTGTACACAAACCCTGAATGCTGTCATGCTGAACTATATGTATGCAAAAGTATCTTTTTTGTCTAAAAAGTTATCATGTTTTCTACTTTGTCTTGTGTGATCAGGTTACTCTGTATCACCAGTTTGAGTAGCTGTAGCTTCTACTGTGTTTATTGAAGCTTTAATCAGTTAAGAAGAAGCACATCAAGCATGTGCAGTGCTGGTCGGGATATAGGTTACAGGAACTTGTTGCACATTAATTAGCAAGCTTCTAAACAAAACTATAAGTCTTATATCCATTCTGCAACAAAAGCACTCCATAAAGACTGAAGTGCACCTCGGTTATGACACCACAGTCATTTTAATCCTTGTGTGTGGCTCTCAATAGATCAGTAGAATGTGTTGTTTTCCATTCAGTGATCGTCTAAGTAGATTTGATCAGACAAGCTTTGACGCCTGAGTTTTTGTCAATAAAAGCTGTTGTAAAGGGCAGGTTATGCTCCAGAGCTGGCGGTAGTTTGAGTTGTTACTTCAATAAGCGTTGCTCCTGAGGAAATATTAATATACACCTGTAATGGAACTAGAAGAAGTCAATGGAAGTATAAGTTTACACTCAATTGCATAATTTCAACTTATCAGCTTGACTCGAAAGCAGTTTTTGTGCCGTTTGCAAAATTTGCACCTTCTTGGGTGGTGTTCAGGTTTCCAGATGCTTGTAAAAACTAACTTGCTTCCAGGCTGTTTTCTGCTACTCTACTGGTTTTACTAGGTGGTACTTGAATGATCTGAAACCCTGGCTTGATGAATGAAGTCCCATCGCTCACTGAAAACTCAGTTTCTCTCGTAGTTCATCTGTTTTGAACTGTATTTTTGTAGGTAAGTTAATTTCTCTACTGGTTTGTGTGGTTTAGTCTTGTTCACTGCGTAGTTGTTATAGACATGTTGCTGTTGTAGCTTTGGGTTGAAACAGATTTTTGATTTGCTCTGGGATGTGTTGTTGAATTCACACTCAAATTTACTTTATTCTACACATTTTCTTAATCTTCTTGCACACAACACTTTAAAGCTGGACCTGGAACACCCTTTTTCCCCCTACTCAATTCGAATTGTTAACAGCTGAGCTGGCGTTGGTGGTTGAAGTCAAAACTCCATTGTTAACGCTTCTAAGCCAGCGAAGGAGGTAGTCACAGGCCTGATTTGGTGAGAAGGTGTGAAATAGGGAGTGGCACATGAAACACTCATTTCCATCCAGGGGTAGCGATTACTGATGACTAGTTTGTGGACAGTATTTGTGAGAGATTCTGCAAAATACCTTGAAAAAACCAAGAGGTTTCTAACTTCTTTGGATAAAGTTGCAGAGACCTACAGTCAGGTTGTATTGGGCGAGTCAAACCCATCTCATTTTAGTTTCAGTAAATTCTTGAATGCTAGACACCTGCTTGGTATTGTCCTTAGTAGAGTAGTCTAATCTAGGCTTTATTGTTGGGCTGTAACTAATGACTACACTCACCGGCCACTTTATTAGGTACACCTGTCCAACTGCTCGTTAACACTTAATTTCTAATCAGCCAATCACATGGCGGCAACTCAGTGCATTTAGGCATGTAGACATGGTCAAGACAATCTCCTGCAGTTCAAACCGAGCATCAGTATGGGGAAGAAAGGTGATTTGAGTGCCTTTGAACGTGGCATGGTTGTTGGTGCCAGAAGGGCTGGTCTGAGTATTTCAGAAACTGCTGATCTACTGGGATTTTCACGCACAACCATCTCTAGGGTTTACAGATAATGGTCCCAAAAAGAAAAAACATCCAGTGAGCGGCAGTCCTGTGGGCRGAAATGCCTTGTTGATGCCAGAGGTCAGAGGAGAATGGGCAGACTGGTTCGAGCTGATAGAAAGGCAACAGTGACTCAAATAACCACCCGTTACAACCAAGGTAGGCAGAAGAGCATCTCTGAACGCACAGTACGTCGAACTTTGAGGCAGATGGGCTTCAGCAGCAGAAGACCACACCGGGTGCCACTCCTTTCAGCTAAGAACAGGAAACTGAGGCTACAATTTGCACAAGCTCATYGATATTGGACAAGAGAAGATTGGAAAAACGTTGCCTGGTCTGATGAGTCTCGATTTCTGCTGCGACATTCGGATGGTAGGGTCAGAATTTGGCRTCAACAACATGAAAGCATGGATCCATC